AAGATGCAAACGTCTTGTTTTAACCGATTTAAAAGAATCAATTATTTCGCCTATATATTTAGATCCTGGGCTGTGTCTGCTTCAATACTGAAAAGTGATAATTGGTTCTATATTGGTTTAATAATCTTGTGTGCTGGTGCACCTCTGGTAATTATTAATTCTTCCTAATCTACTGAAATATCGTTCTGCACCAGCACTGTTGGTGGCTATGGTGTAAAAAATCCTCAGTAATGCACATAAAGATGGATATGAAGACCCTAGGTTATTGGAAATTAAAAATGATAAATATTCGTCAGGTGCAAGTTTGTTGTCATCAGCATTAATTTCTTCTAATAAACTGCAAAAATGTTTATATTCCTCAACTAAAGAAGGTTTAACAACCGCTTGGTACAATATCTGTATATCCATAAGACATTTTAAATTGTCATCATTGACGTCCATATCCAATAATCAATTAAATTTTTGGCATATATTAAGGAAGTCTTCAAACCGATCCTCTAGAGTACCAGTTAAAATGTCTAAAGTACGATAAAACACTGATATCTTGAAATTATCTTCAGAATTTTGATGTAGGTAATCATTCTGGATTTCATCATGAATTTTTATTATTCTTCTTTGTCTTTTTGTGGAAAATAATGTTGATGTATTGCATTTATTTGCCAAAATAGTAGCCTGTTTTTTAAAATTTTCAAAATATTTTTCACTTCTTAATGATTTGAGATCTTTAATTACCGCAGTAATCATATGAGCAGCTGTACAGGGTGTCCCATTTTGGTTGAAATCATACGGTATCTCCGTTATTAGTGAAGATAGAAGGGTGCGGTTTGCACAAACCTGTCTCACTTTTTTGTCAAACGGAAGATGCCGTAAACAAAATTTTCATAGCCCTTTTCGTTTCCGAGCTACAGGGTCTTTTTGAAAATTTTGCAATTTGGGACACCTCCTGAATCTCTGTTATTGTTAAAGCTATCGAGAAGGTGAAAACTGTTTGTTGTAGAACTTTTTACGTAGAATACAGTGGCGTAGTCTGTTTTTCTACCAAAAAAATATTTTTGAAAATATGAACTAAAGTTATGTTTTTTTAAATGGAACACCCTGTATATTTATAAATCATATGATCTGTCTTGCCATAAGCTTCTCAAAAATATATATCACTCTATATTTATTTTCTCTATTTACTGCAATATTTAAAAGTTTTTATTAAACGATCATATTTATTAGTAGGCCATGATTGATAATAAAAGAAACTAAAGAATTATTAAAAGTATACTGCTATCTGTCTCTTGTTTTATTTTGGGAGTCGCTAATAAATTCTTTATATATTAGGGAAATTTAACTCTCTACCGCTATTTGTAAATCTTGGAATACGTGTATACGTAAGAATAATCTATCGTATCGGAAATTTTAGATATTCCTTTAGCTAATTTACGTGAAATATACTTTCAGCAAGATGGGGAACATTCCCCCTCATAACTATGGAAATATAGAATACTGTTAAATTATTATTTTTCAAATCAATGAATTGGAACCAATGAACGCATATTGATAGCCTCCTCGATTCCCGGATTTCGCCGTTCTCGATTTCTGATTTTGGGGATTTTTGAAATACGAAATATATCGTGGGCACTACAGCAATGTCGAACACCTGAAAAATGCTTTAATAATTCAAGATTTAGATATTTGCAAACCCATCCCGTTATAAAATAAAGAAAAATATATTCACAGTTTCAGTGGTAACAGTTTTTTCAAAAGTAGAATATACCAATCCCAAATAAATTTTAATATGTGTATGACTATTTTAGTAAATACCATTTTGATTTTTTGTTATTTATCACGGCCTACTAATAAGAAAATGATATATTTTAAATATTGCAGTAAATAGTAAAAATAAATATAGAGTGATATATATTTTTGAGAAGCTTGTAGCAAGACAGATCATATGATTTATAAATATACAGGGTATTCCATTTGAAAAAACATAACTTTAGTTCATATTTTCAAAAATATTTTTTTGGTAGAAAAACAGACTACGCCACTGTATTCTACGTAAAAAGTTCTACAATAAGCAGTTTTCGCTTTCTCGATACCTTTAATAATAACAGAGATACAGGGGGTGTCCCAAATTGCAAAATTTTTGAAAAGACCCTGTAGCTAAGAAATGAAGAGGGCTATGAAAATTTTGTTTGCAGCATCTTCCGTTTGACGAAAAAGTGGGACAGGTTTGTGCAAACCGCACCCTTCTATCTTCACTAATAACGGAGATACTCTATGATTTCAACCAAAATGGGACACACTGTACAGAAGTTGATATTAACCTTTTGCAAGTGATTGGACAATATATTAATTTTATTCGGCACTTCATTATAATCGATTATAATTCGGTCGCTGATTCCCCGAATTTATTTCCATCGCGACTGTTTTCATCTTCTTCTTTGGCGGCGCCGGCGCAAGGTTATGTCTAGCCATTGTATTTTTATTTATAGACAATGGCCTAGCGGTAGCGTAGTTTCAAACCCATATGAAAACTTTCGTACGTATACGCCTACTTCATGAGAGATTTAAATTATAATTAAACCTAAGTAAACATTAAAAAACAAAAATAAAATGTGAGAAATATATACGTCATTTTTTTATCTTGAAGAGCTAAGGGCACGGTAGGGCACCGTTTACTTTTGCGTTAAATTTAGTTTTTCTATTTTTTTTCAAAGGGCGCCAGTGGCGCTAAGCCCACAGGGGCGGAGGGGGCGTTCGCCCCCCCTGGCCCCCTATACGACACGCCACTGGCCATCACATGTCTTCTCTGTCAACCGCAGAGTTCTCGTCAAATTCGTCAATCTTTTTCCAAAGGGGAGCTCGAAAAATATTGCACCGAGGCCCCATCAGTTGTCTCAATCTACGTTACCGTATTCTTAGTATACACTTATATCGAGACTATTTAAATTTACCTAATGCTATTCATTCTTTTTTTTGCTGCCAGTCAGCCATATTTATTAGTTATTAATAAAGGAATATTGGTCAAACAATACAGGGTGAGTCTTAAATAAGTGCAAATATTTTTAGGGATGGTATATTTCGATCCCAAGCACAACGTCTATGAGGTTTCTTTTGCAAAAAAAGATGTTAAAAATCGGAATTGTCCTGTATATTTTAGAAAACTTTTTAGAACTTCCTGTTCACCGCAAATTTTCCTATATATAGTATAGGGGTATAGTTTCTTAATCTCTGATATTACGGCACGAAAAAGGATGCAAATATCGAAAAATTGAAGTGGCTCAATTTTTTTTTAAATAAATCTTTTTTTTTATTTTCAAACTTTAATAACTCGGTTGGATTTATTTGAAATACGGTAAAGAGAATATAATATGTTTCTTTTATTGAGATCTACAAGCTCTGAAAATATTTATCATGTTTTATTATACAAGTCACCTTCTATAATAAATCAAACCGAGCAAATAACAGATGTTTATAAAATTATTAAGTGTCTCAGAGAAAGACATCTTAAAATAGTTATTTTACAAATTGGTGTTTATGTTTAAAACTAACTGACGATTAGACTGATGTAAATTGATTAGTTAGTGATGGGGTCTTTAAGAATCATACGTCACTTTAGTTAGAAGATTAACCATTTAAATTTTGCTAATCCAATCTTCTGTTGAGTTCTGATCGGGACCGGCCGGCCCACCGGGCCATCTTTCCACCGGCTTACCGGGAATTTTCCCGTTTTTTCCATATAGCCCATCCACCCCTGTCTAATAGTCAAGTATAAATGGTTAAAAAATGCATAGAAAATACCTTAAAATATTAACAAAAAAAACAGTGTGTGCACTATGTGCGCACATTTGAAGAGAAACTTCTAACAGCTCTTAAGTTGAAGGATTTGAAGGATATATATTCTTTATGAATGATTTTTATAAACTTCAAAAAAATTAGAGTTAATATAAAACCGTATACTATTCTAGCTTTATAATTTTATAATGTTTTTTAATTTTTATTAAAAAAAGATAACGATCACTTGACCGGAGCCCTGGGAGCTGTGGCCATTAAAACAAAATATTACTACATTTATATCTCTGACTACTACTAACCAACAATTTGTTTTGTGTTGTCTGTGGTCTGTTTCTGTTTAAATGTTTTGTTCATCATTCATTATTTATATTAATTTACAGTACTTTTATTAAATTATACGAATATTCTCGTTGATTATTGGTTTGAAATAAATATGACAGTGTCCTCCAATGAAAATACGAGTTACTAACTCTAAATTCTAGTTCTGAGGTGGCAAATAAGCTAGATTCTTTACTTAGACCAGGGTTTCTTAAACTTTTTGCAGTCACGGACCACTTTCGCAATTTGTACAATTCCACGGACCCCTATCAGAAATAATAGAGGAAAATAAAAAAATCCCTATTTACATAAAAAGAAAATGTTTAATAACAGATTTATTACACGTACATTAGTAAACTAGTGAGAAGGATTCTGCTGTTTAGCCTCAATGAGAACGTTAAATTGTGGGGTTATTTTCAACAAGGCAAGGCGCATATCATCTGCGACGTTCAATCGGTTGCGACTTTTTGTTTTTATTGAAACCAGGGGTGCAACTTTGTTTATGTTTCAAAGCGATAGCAAAGTAATTTGTAGCTTGATGCACTATGTTCAGTAGCAACATCGATTCGTAGCGATATTCTAGTTTCTCGCTTTGTGGCGAGGCAACAGTCTAGACAGGTGTGCAAGAGTGTGATAGTGATACCATATTTCGCAGCATTTGAGCGACAATAGTTTTGCAATGAACATAGTAAAACTATTGGAAACGATCGGTTGCTGACTTGAACAAATTTGCACCCCAGAACCGAGAACCTTGCCTCGGGCAAAAGTACGTAATAGCCAATGGTATCACATAGAGTGGACATAGCTCGTTTGACAAGAAGAGGGTAAGCTTGACTTAAAGAACACCAAAACTCGCTAAGATCTTTTGCATGAAATTCAGCTTTTAAAACTTCTTTTTATCTCATGCCAATTAAGTCATCTGTAATGAGATCTTCATCGCTAATGTTATCCGTGTCGATTATAAATGGACCTCGCACCCACGTATCATTTTCAAGCGATTCTAAGTTAAAGTAGCCTTCAAAAGAAGCTTGCAATGTATCCAAATGCTTAGACACCTCTTTCTGTAGCATTTTCGATATCGTGTTGCCGTCACCTTGTGTTATTAACTCTTCAAACATCGGAAAATTTGCAAAGTTACCAGATTCCACCCTCCTTTTCCAAAGTGGCAGTTTACATATGAAACTTTTCAGCCGTTCAGATGCATCCACGATGATCACCGCAGAGACCTAAAGAGACAAGTTAATCTCACTCAATTGAGTAAATATATCTGCCAAATACGCTAGCCTCCGTACAAAATCTTCGCTCTCAAGATATTCAGACAGTGAATTTCCTTTATCTTTTAGAAAAAGTAACACTTCTGTCCTCAACTCAAACAATCGCTTTAAAACCTGTCCCATTGACAGCCAACGAACTTCTGTTTAGTAAAGCAGTACTTTATGTTCTGACCCCATATCTTGACAAAGTCTTTTAAACAGGCGGTGCCGCGGTAGTTTAAGGCTGTTGCTCTGATACTTATTTTGATACATGTAGACATAACGTCCTTCACGAATGTAGGTAAAGTCCGTGAGGCCAAGGTATGACGATGCAAGATACAATGAGTTATTATGACATGAGGGATCTCGTTCTTGACCAAAGCTGCGAAACCAGACGTATTACCAAGCATTGCGGGAGCTCCATCGGTGCAGATACTACCAAGTTTAGTCTTCCATTTTGTTCGATGAAAAACCTTTTTATCATTTCAAAAACATCTGAGGCCTTTGTAGTCTCCAAAAGTGAATTGCAAAAAAGAAACTCTTCTTTAATACTACGTGTGTCTTGTTGTACGTAACGGACAAATACCAAGAGTTGGCTACATTGTGACACATCGGTGCTTTCATCCAATTGAATACTGAATGGAAACGGTGAAACAATTAATTCTTCAACAACTTGTAAAACATTTGAAGACATTTCAACAATTCTAGAATGAATAACATCGTTTGATAAGGGAACAGCTTCAACGTTTTTTTGGATCCTTACGCGCATCGCGTAGTGTTTAGTGATTAAATACCTACTGAATTCGCCGCCGTACACTATTTATTTTCTTAATAAATATGTTTACAGTTAACTGGCGTAATGCGGATCGCGGACCCCTGATACACGTGCTATGGACACCTAAGGGGTCCATGGACTTTAAGAAATCCTGACCTAGACGGTTATTCAGAAGCTACAAACCTATCGATGGAAATATGTATGAAAACGTACACTATTTATTTTCTTAATAAATATGTTTACAGTTAACTGGCGTAATGCGGATCGCGGACCCCTGATACACGTTCTATGGACCCCTAAGGGTTCCATGGACTTTAAAAAATCCTGACCTAGACGGTTATTCAGAAGCTACAACCCTATCGATGGAAATATGTATAAAAATTTACTTTCTAGCACACAACCAGAGGATATTGGTACACATCTAGGTTGGTACAGTATGAACTCAGAAGAGCTGTACCCCGCCCCACTAACACCCTTGTAACTGTTTGATTGGCCATCAAACTGCAAATATTCACACGGTCATTGTGCAATGTCATTATGTCTATCTATAGAGTCGGGCATCAAGGAAATTTTTAATTATTGGTATTTTGAAAAAATCAAATAGTACAACTTATAGAACTTTTGGGGTGGTATTCAGAACTCTAACCAGAACTGTTTTTCAACATTGCGTTTCTTTCGTAAAGTCGATTTTTATGTCTATCTATAGAGTCGGGCATCAATGAAATTTTTAATTATTGGTATTTTTAAAAAATCAAATAGTACATCTTATAGAACTTTTGGTGTGCTATTCAGAACTCTAGCCAGAACTGTTTTTCAACATTGCGTTTCCTTCGTAAAGTCGATTTTTATGTCTATCTATAGAGTCGAGCATCAATGAAATTTTTAATTATTGGTATTTTTAAAAAATCAAATAGTACATCTTATAGAACTTTTGGAGTGCTATTCAGAAATGTTTTTCAATATTGCCTCTCCTTCGTAAAGTCGATTTTTATGTCTATCTATAGAGTCGTGCATCAATGAAATTTTTAATTATTGGTATTTTAAAAAATCAAATAGTACATCTTATAGAACTTTTGGAGTGCTATTCAGAAATGTTTTTCAATATTGCCTCTCCTTCGTAAAGTCGATTTTTATGTCTATCTATAGAGTCGTGCATCAATGAAATTTTTAATTATTGGTATTTTAATTTTATTATTTTACGGACATTGTGCATTCTAAAATATGCAGGGTGTTCCATTTAAATTAAACAAGTTATTGCCGTTTTAAGCTAGTAATAATTTAAAATAATATTTTAGACACTCTGTATAAGGTAGTATAATTTTTATTATTGCAACACAATAACTGATCAATAAATAAACTTTAGTAAATATTTAGTATTAAAAACTTTGATACCCTTGGAGAAATGAAGCCTTACAATTTTGACTGCAATTTCACAAAATTGAAAATATGTTTAATATTTTTTCAAAAACGGTAAGGTTTAAGTGTAATAAACCTTTATCAAATTTACCTTTATTTTAATAGAGGGGTAAACCGCAGAGGGAAAAGTGTACACCGTAATTCCTTTTACTCAAATAATTCCTCAGAATTCCTCGTAATTACTTCGGAATTCCTTGGAATTCCTTGGTCTTCAAGGTCAAGGTCAATCATTCAAGGTCTTCCTTAGAATTCCTTGGTACGAACTCGGTAACTCTTTCAGTCTGAACCAGCGTTGCCACCGCGGTTTCGCAGTTCCGCAATGAATTTTCTCGTGATTTTTATAAATGTCTAATGTCTCTATAAGTACTAGATCTAACAATAAAAAGTACTATTACGCGATTTACGTTTTTTTAGTTAAATTTTAGGACTAATAGGGGATCATGGCAATATGTCGGCACTTACTTATTAAAATTAATTTTTCTCGGGATTTTTTTTAAAATGATAGGTACCTAGTTTTATCTATAGGAAAGGAAATTAATAAAACTTCAGTTGCACGTCATAATACGATCACCATAAATTCCATAAGATTACGCATGGTGTCATTGATGAAGTGCACCTAAAGAAGTTGTATTAATTTCCTATAGTATATACCTAGGTAATTATTCCGAGGGAAATGAAAAAAAACAACTTTACACTTTCTGAGAACCGAATAAAAAATCTTCTGAGGGGTTTCTTTAAAATGGCTGGCGAAATCAGGGAACGTTATAAGTAGATCTTTCAGAAGTGGTTCAGCCGTACTATTGGAATATATTTTAGATATATAAACGAGGGGTACAATATTAAATTAAAAGAATATCTAACCTGTAGATATTTGATACTGGGAAATTTTGGAAGCGATTCGAAAACGAAAAACGGATTGTAAAAAATCGCCTGCAAAACGTTTTTCTTTAAATTCAGTACTACCTATTATCACCTATTATAGTATTCATGGTCTACTAATGTTCGTTAGTTAAGTTGCTTGTAATACCTCTTAATTCCTGTGGAATTCCTCTAAATTTCTATCGAATTCCTTGGAATTCATCGGAATTCTTACGCAAATCATTGGAATTCCTAGTAATTCCTTGGAATTCCTTGTAATTTCTTGGAATTCCTGTAGAATTCCTTCATAGTGTACACCATAATTTCTCTGCGGTTTACCCCTCGATTTTAATTGTAGAAACTAAAAATGTAATAATATACAGGGTGTTCCATTTAAAAAAATACAACTTTAATATTTTTTATTTATTTGGGATACTCTGTATCTTGTAAAAATATTTTTAAATTGTTGCTCTAATCCTTCAACGAACCCAAAACTTACAATTTGTAAAAATCTAATCGTTTAGCTACAAAATACTCCGTGTCGTATGTGGTGAACAACCCTGTATATATTTATATTCTTTAAACTGTGCTACTATGAACTGCCCATCATGTTCGACGTTTGGGAAATGCTTGGCAGGAGAGTTAGAGATCGCGAAGAGTTACCAGCTTCATTAAATGAACTTCGCTTGGTCCTTAAAGAAGAATCGGAAAACATAACGCAATATGATACATGCAGCCTCAATGACAGTATGAACAAACGTATACAGGCAGTTATAGCAGCTAAGGGAGGCAATGCAAAGTATCAGGGTGTTTTTTACAAGTTTTGTTTTCTGTTTGTGTACTTCAGTATTACAGATATTTTCCTTAATATCGTTAGTTCTGTTACCGTTATTAATGTTTATTAAAACCAGAACTGTATTGTTAGTTTTTAACGTTTTTTTTTTATTTAGTATAGAGTATCCGATGCAGCGTAATATGACGTTACGACAAAAGTCACCAAAAACCGTCTCGTCTTTTTAAAAAATTACATCAAAAGTAATGATAACTGAAAAAATTGCAAATTGATCGTGATCAGTTCATTTCGCTCTTAAAAATTAACCAAAGCGGGCATTGACGTGATCCAAAAAAACAAAATGCTCAGGAGACATGGTTTTTACCGTTAAATTATATTTTAGGAAAATTTACACACAAAATTATTGCACAGGGTGTTTTAAAGTTAGGATAAAAAAACAACCCCTTGATTAACCCTGTATAATATGCCAATTACTAAAGTTTACAAAAAAACAGAGTTTACGAATTAAAGTTGATATAATTATGTACAGTTTGATAAAAAATTCATGCAAATAGGGCTAAAAATAATAAAAATATAACACTTTAAATTTGACCAAAAATTTCTCTGCTGCGTTTTTTTGCATCTGAGTTTATAATTAGTATAGCATGTCCTACAAACCTTTATCAAGCTTATAAGATATTGTCATTATTTCATGCATTATTAGTAATCCTAAGCTTTTATTTTACCGCGAAGTATAAAATTTCCTTTAATAACTGAAGCGATTAAAAAATAAATTACATTCCTTTGAGCAGTTTTGCAAGAAATTAATCTCGGCTTGGACAACAAACAACAGTTAATATTATAATTCATTTCATTCTAGCCAGATTTTCTACGGATAAGGATTTTAAGAACTAATATATTGTTCAAAACCGCAAACGGCACACGCCATTACGGCGTTTTTTCTCCAATAGACCGCAAACTGTTTTATTTCCAACTAGATATCTAGGTTAATTAAACAATTTACGATACTACAACACAGTAACATTTCAAATATGATAGAAACGGCGAATATCGATTTATGAAAATCAAAGTTCTCAAATATACACGTTGTAATAAGAATATAAGTAAACTGGCGTGTACCCGCGACTTCGTTCGCGTCGAATTAATCATTTGTAATGGTGATGATTGATGATTGATGATAAAGCAAAGCAAGAATTTCTATTAACATACAAACTGGATAAAATTTTCTCACATTTATGTCAGCATGAGAAAAAACAATATGGCGATATTATTATATAACTTGGTAATATTTGAGAGGTAGTTTCATCTTGTTGGAATTTGACTTTCGAAAAATCCGTTTGCCAAAAGTAAGCTTTTTACGTCAAGCAGTTTAAGCAGAATCGTGGTTAATCAATTACCCAACTTTTTGGAACATCCTGTATGATTTTTTAAAAAAATTCAAAATATGTAAAAAAACAAAAGTAAATTATGCGTGTCCAAGCGTTTTCCCGAAAGACTAACCGTTTTTTAAATAACAAATATTGTAATACTTTAGGGGCATTTTCACCCTCTTGGAATTTGAGATTCGAGAAACGCCTCCTTATCGAAACTCTACACCCCACAGTCAATCCGTTTGCCAAAAATCAGCTTTAAACGTCAAGCAGTTTAAGCAGAATCGTTATTACTCAATGGTCATATTTTATGAAACACACTGTATACATTTTTAAAAAATCTTAAAATATGTAAAACAACAAAAAAAAATACGTGTTTAAGAGTTTTTCCGAAAAACTCACCGGTTTTTAAATAAAAGATATTCTAATATTTGAGGGGTGGTTTCACCCCGTCAGTGGCGCATCTAGAGATTGAGTCTGGGAGGGGTAGTGTGAATATTCAAAAAAGTTTGTAACTGTGGAAAAAATCTACTTGGATTGGTTTGGATATTCTGTTT